GAGCCTTTTTCGAGGAGTGACCTTGTAGGGAAAATGCCAGACATTTCTTTGCAAGTCTTTCAAAATCCATGAATAGTCTGTACTGATATATTTTATTCAATAAGCCAACACAATGGTAATCAGTTTGACCTATATGATCTCGAACATTTTAGCATATTAGAACCCAGCATAACAGGCATCAGGTGGCTGCAACCTGTCCCTAATAAAATGGTCCGTAAGCAAGCATCAGTTGGTGAGTCAGAATTGCTTGTGTGGAAAACAAATCTTGTGGGTTAGGTGGTTGGGATGTGTACTAGGACAATCTTCCTTCCTGTGTGCAGGCCAAACATCAGTCTTCACCAGTAGTGTATTGCCCTTGATGATGGTAACCACCTCTGGAGCATATGTCAAGTCCACCGATGTTGTTGCATACAGGTTTTAACGTACGCACCAACCATCCCCATCTTCTAGTGTAATAACAACTTTCCTCTATTAATTCCGCGTATGGCAGCATGCTAGGTATTATTTCACCGTCATTCTTTACGGGCCCACTGGTGTTGATCATCTTTTTTTCAATATAGTGCTTATTCCACCAAAATCACAGTCGTGAGTTCTAAAGGTATCATTCTCACCTCTTGTACGATTGATTCGAAACATCAGCTTCTTGCGTCAATCACCCAACCGCGACGTTTATTTTTATTTGGTGAACCGGTGACAATCACATGTCGCTCATCCTATCTCAGCAACTGACATCAATTTTAATTTGAGATTTTGTCCTGTAAGTAAAGCCAATTCATACCCACAATCCGAGAAGCGCGGCACTGCTGCTTCATCAGTAGCAGTGCGCATCTCATGAAACTGCATGGAGTTTCGAACCCGCGGGTCTTGGTGTGAGCACTTGACCGTGCGGCCTCCCGGCTTTTTAGCATGGATTGGATTCACTTACGGGATAAAACCTCAGTTGAAAGTCCCCAACTTCCCTGACACCACCAACAAATGTCAGTTGGCCAACGTCGCTTTAGTGACGCTCCGACAACTAATATGCAGATAATATAGTCGGTCGTTTATTCTCAGCGTGAATTGGCAACTCCTAGTAGTACACCACACACACCATCGATGACTCGTCCGCCGAAGTAACAAGCGTTTGGTTCAGCCCGAGTGCTTGATCTTATGAGCGCATCTAGATTTTTATGTGGAGATCCATACATGCCAGTGCTATAACTGTACAGTGGGGTTCACGTAATCAGCACGTATATCATAGCTGGTTGCTATTTTGCTTCAGTAGTATTACTTATGGGTCACTCATAAGGGTTCCGTCGTAGTATGTGGTTCATTAAACTAGCTCACCAAATTAGAATCGACTCATTTTGAGATTTGTTCGACGTTCCTTCAGCTAGCGCATCAAACTCCTCACTCGAACTCGTAAGATATTTGGTTTCCGGGCGTCATCAGTTTCCTGTAGATATTGTGCAAAGGTTCATTGGTGTTCGTTGATTCATCAACACCTTATGGAGGGATTTCATGTAATTTGATGCTCATCTTCGAATGCCTGCGGTATTATTGACTCAGAGCTACTCAATTACTCGAGCCATTGTATATTAGCCGCCTACCTATTAGATGACTTGAAGCTAATTGGTTCGTCTATTTTGTTACAGTGATCTATGTGGGGAACGACCTAGTTGTTGTTTTGAGCCTCATCACTCCACGTCTATAGTTTTACTGAGTTTAGTTTGACTATGTACCATCCTTCGTTTGTTTCAGATTTGTGAAAAGTCCTCAGCTTGATCCGAACCAGTTTCGCCTGAATGTCAAGCCACTTGAACTAATAAAGAAACGACATTCCCGGCTACGCGAAAATCTCCAACAGATAAATTCACAGCTAAAGGTAAATAAGAATGTTTGAACTTATCTAGTTTCGTTTTGACACAGCACGAGTTAGATGCCGATCCCACTCCTTCTGCTTCAGATCTGGAAACTATCAGGGGGGTGAGCCCCTCATGGCCTTCCTGACCACTACTTCATTTTTAGAAAATTGCCCATCTCAACAAAAGAAAAACGGTTCTTGAAACTCAATTGAGTGGGTACATGGGTCTGTCTCCGGTAACTTTTTTGTTCACTCTCCTTAATGCGATATTCTTCCAGCACCCTGAAAGGGCTCAATCCCAGCTTGATGCAGCATTAGCTAAGATGGTAGGTGCTTACAACTTTCGTTCCCTCACTTTTTTTCAGAACCTGATGGACTCTACCTTTCGGGACAAGATCGGTTTGGATCGGTGGTGTTAAACTGACTTTGTGAATGACATCATGTTTTTGCAAATATTTCGTTTACATTAATTTGCTTCTTTAAATGTAACAACAACGTTCCTACGATAAGTGAGCTACAGGGGCTGTGCAGCGGCAACAGACGGTATTACCCACCAATCTAATAAGGTTCTTCAGAGACGTTTGGCGACTTCATTTCACAAAAGGAGAAATATGCCCCATTAGGACAAATTCTTTGACGCCATTCGGTTGCGGGAACCGATCATATTCGAACACGAGTAATCTATGGCCGTAAAGTTGAATACCGGTGACTCGACTGTGTCAAACACTTCATTGTTTCGATATCAGTCGAAGACCATTGTATAAATGAGAGATTCAGGTGACTGAGTCTCCGTAAATTCCAGATTCATTTGCACCTACGAATTTGGTGCTCACATAGTAAATAAGGCTGATGCGTATTCGGGACTGGCCTCTGAAAAGGACGAAAACGGCAGTGAGTTGTCCATCGAACTTGTGAGTATTATTGAAAATTCCTTGTATTGTTCAATCAACTAGCTCCAATGCTTTCAAGAGTCGCCTACCCGATTTCATGATTTTGATGTGTACTCTCATCACGCCATTATCCCACATACTTTCAGCATCCTGACTTATTGTCAGCATTTAGCCCACTCGACCCACCAAACATGTTTTGATGCCGTTTTAAGGGAAACAAAATCGCTATTCTGCTCAAACTGTGCGGGAATTGTCATCGTCAAGTAGAGGGAGGGATATGTGGAAGATATTTCCTCCACGCTGTTCAATTACTTTCGAGCGACTTGTTTGCGAATTGTTCTCGCAACATTCTGTGTCCACTTACCTACGGCGAGGTAATTGTAGGCTCATAAGGGTCATTGGATTCGATCAACACTTTGAATTTTTTCGGGTTACACCATCTTGTACAGATGTGGTTGGGAGGCGCAGAAAAGGGTACCGTCGGCAAAACTGTGTAGTAGTTTATTCCGATCGCCTCATGCTTTTCCATAAGCTAGCTGAGACAGCACATTATACTTCATGGTTGCCCAAGTCAAAGGTTGCTATTTTGAGCTACTACAACTTGTGCCTCTGATTCAAAATTGTTATTACGAGACAGAGGAATTCTGCCTTTGACTCAACCCTCTGTCCCGCGAGGCGGTGGATTGCTTATAGATTCATACCCAGGGACACTGACCTACCTGATCTCAACCGAAGGGGCGAGGATTCATGCATGGATTTAGATTGCCGATGCTGTTGTTTATGGGGTGGTCTTTGGATCTGACGATCGCAATCATAAAGTGATTCTTTATGGTCGATCTGTTCGAACACCTCTCCTATCGTAAAGGAGCATCTGGTTATCTATGGGGAATACTGTAGTTTCACTGTGCCAAATGGAACAGGTCGCTCGATTCCACATCACTTTTTTAACGTAAACCCGGATGCATGGTTTGATACGCATCGGAAGGTTTGCCACTTGACAGGATCCTTGTTATGTGATGTGGCGCAGCGATAATCTACTAGGTACTGGCTTCTCTGCTCTGGGGCGAACACTGCAACTGTGATGGACATTCGCAACCATATACTGTGCATTTTGCATACTACTATGGGAAGCAGGTTCCTCAGTGAGGTGGTTTGGAGTTGAAGTGAGAAGGTGCGGGACCAGTTGCCAACATCAAGACAATTGCTTAACTATTATTGCTCCGTTAGGACGATTTGTGTTATTGACCAACTGAGCAACGAACGGATACAAACGGTCAGAGGTAGGGACCAAACACTTGTTTCGTCGGAATGGTTAAAATGAGTTAGGAGTGATGTGGTAGCGATGGCGCCCTAGCAACCGAAGGTATCGATAACCAATGTGACCTTGTTCGGTGCTCAGGATGAATGGGAAGTGTTTGACGAAACAACTTAGTTGGAATTAGGACTATTTTGAAATCGGCGAGGGTTATGCGCTGGCTAGATCCGCTGATTTGTCAAAAGTTTCGGTAGGAGCACACTCCGAAAATCGATGCTGAGTGAAGCCATTCGAGTCTATGAAGTCTAGAATCCTGCCTCCAACATCCGGGACCTTGACCTCAACCTCGGCGCAAATAGAATGACTGTTCGGTACCCAACCCGGAAATCGGTTTGGTCCTCGCATGACCATTTGGTTTTACCCTGTCAGTAATCAGTTTGTTTAGACGAACTACTGACGATTGGGCGACCGCTCGTCTCTTTTTAACCAAAAATACTAAACTAATAGTCGTACACTTTCAAATCGATCCGTTGAGACGCAGTTTTATTGATCTGCTGGGAGTTCCCGGGATGAGAATGACCTATTTCCCCGCTGTTCACCGTCCGTGACCGCGGAGCACTGCGCACCTGTGACGAGAACAGCACTTGACAAAGTATGAAGTTCTCCGAAGTGTTTGCTCGCGTGGTCAATGACCGCATAGCACAATCTTCTGTAGCTCTTTCACGCTCTCCACCATCTACCTCCAATTGTCATTCGGAAAGCCAGGAGTAAATCCAAGGAAGTCAACAGGGGGCCAGATAATGTCATTTTGTTTGTCACGCCATCCTAAACTGGTTACTAGGGGTGACCGCAGTGTTTGACTCGAGGAACCGCAATCAGCACCAAAGCGTCAGTTTTCCCCTATCTTCTTCAATATGTACAGTGGCTTTTTTGCCCTTCACGTGCCAGTCATACCACTGTACACCACCAAGCCTGGCGGATATATCCTGCTGGTGAAAGTAAGCATAAGCAACAATCGTCTATTGCGTGCAGCAGAGCCACTAGCGGAGGCTATACTTTTATCATTCACCTTCCACTCCCCCGTCGATTTAAGAAAGCATTTTGCAGTCAGGCATTCAGTGATTGCACCTCCCAATAAATTACTTCCTGCCGGTCTTGAGGGTATTCATATTTCAAGTTCGCTTCATCCTATTTGGATGCCAATTAGTTTCTGCTGCTACGTTTGCAATTTGAGAGCTAACAATGCTATAGGTCCCTCTATTTGTTCTAGAAAATCGTCATGACTTACACTCTTAACAACACTCTACTGATAGTCACCTGAGCAGCTTGCTCACCCTGATTTTATCTTGCATACTGCGCGACGGAGGGTGTTAGAAGACTCTATTCAACTGTGTACTCACTGTTACCCTTTTTGAGAACGCACTGCCGTCCTTGTCACAGAAACACAAGGGAAGGTCACAAGATCTAACCTACTCTGCAGCTGGGCATGTTTCTTCGCTGAAGCTCAGTACAAGTAGCCGAACGGCCTGTTCATGCATGAACTGTCGTGCTCAGCTTAATGGGCCAGAGCTTGAAAGCTGCGTCATCAGCTGCGAGAGCCGCATACTCGCCCTACGGTTGTTCTAGCTGCCAGTTTCGTTCACCGATTATTTGGAGAGATGGCGTAGGTAGCTGCGCACTGGATGTGGTAGCTGGTATAACTGATGCTTAATTAGAGGATTCTGTGGACTTCTAAAAAGGAGGTTGTGAGAAGCTATGCACTAAGGTAATACCTTGGATGCACGGGCGCCATTGAGGATGCGACTGGACCACGTCTGACAATGACTCTAACCATTACTGTGTCCCTTCTTGATATCCTAATCCAGGCAGTTGGAAATGACCAGCGCGGTTGGGTTCGCTGCCAAGTTATTGTCTGACCGCCAAATTGTGCGAAAAGCCCTTCGAGGAAATCGGTCGCCTGGCACATGGAACACGTGAGCGAGCCAGCGCAACCTATGGAGTGTGGTCAGTTTATTTATCTTAGGCAAGTTTTTTCTTGCGAAAACCAACCCGGGCAACGCTATGAAAACCGGTGGTCAAACACTGAGGGCCTGCGTAGTTTGTCGACCAACCATATCAAGCTATCCAAACTCGTTTATTTGCCCAATATTTGTTTGGTGCCCGTGTATAGTTGTTCGACCTGGCGGTATCATCACTGCATAGTATATGAAACAAGATCGGCATAGGTAGTCCAAATTTCCACTAAGGACCACTAGATCTATCACATTACGATTCCCCAAAACGCTACTAAACGCGTATTTCAGAGTGTGCAACATATTATTCATGACCAAACTTTATCGTTTTCGCGCACCAGTGTTTTTCTGCAGTCACGAACGTCATACAAGAGCCTCGTCTAGCTCTGGACGTTTGCTGTCGTGTTCCATAGCGGCGGTATGATAAGTACTTCCAGAGAACAGACGAAGGAATACAAATCGAGGGGTTGCCCTCCACAAATCCTCCTGTTGCAAGTGGAACATGACTTCCGTCTAGTTTATCCATCACTTAAATAGAATCCTAAGTCATGCGAAATTCTGCAGCGTGATTTCTTTTTCTCATGGCATGCCAACAGCGAATCTGATCATCTTGATCGCAATCGTCCTCACTGAATCCCGATTTTCCACTTATGACCCCATAGAATATAATTCTTTACTCACTTGACTCTACTTCAGCAGTATTCCGGTCCGCAAGTTTCAAATTTGGAGGAGCCGAGAGGACTAATGGTACATTTAAATGCAATTGAGGAGACCTTCAAAACACCTTGCAGAGCGTTCGGTAAGTCCTGGTTTTCTCGGAATCACCCATAAGGTTTGGTAAAAAAATCCAAACCAGGCGATGCGCCCAGTACTGAATCCACTTGTCTTAAGTACAGACCATTCCCCTAACAAGAAAGATAAAGAGGATCAGTGTACTCAGATGAAATGTTCTACCCACATCTAGGGCATATCAAATCGACAGTATTGCAGACGTGTCAGTGGAACAATGTAAGTCGAATCCGTAGGTGTCGCGCGTATCAAGTACAGCTCAGGGGCAGTTGTCGACCACCGAAGCGGTCTTGCTTTTTACACTTCCTCAGCACTTAATGCATACTTAAGCGGAACTGATTGGTAGTTCGATGAAGGACTTCCCGTCTTTGAGTAGCACAGACCTTAAGAGTTGCATGGAGTTAGATTAAATTAAGGGGACCTTATGACCCCAACAGTAGAATCAGTGCCGACGCCATTTTACTGGTGTCCGACGTTATTACGGAGAAGATGCATATGCGGAGCAGAAACGATCGCCCATGCATTGTTATTATCAGATTCTTTGCATCGTAAAACCTCCATTATCTAGTCTAAGACGAAACGTAATCGCTGCATGATCCCAGGACGGAGTTTGACAATGCACTTTGTTCAGAATTGGAATTCCCTCACAACGCGCTGTCATGCGGTCCAGACACAGATCTCGAAGCAAATATTCCTTCTGGACTTCTTATCACCTCTAGCCCATTACTAGCAGTACAAATTGATGAAATAGTTTCGCTCTGACCCTCAACATTTCAGCTTGTTTGGAAACATTGGACCGCAATGTTATGTGCAGCGCCTCACTGTACTTTATCAAGGGGCACTAGCAGTACAAATTGATGAAATAGTTTCGCTCTGACCCTCAACATTTCAGCTTGTTTGGAAACATTGGACCGCAATGTTATGTGCAGCGCCTCACTGTACTTTAATCAAGGGGCAGGTTTTTTTGAAACAATATTGCCAAGAATCTGTGTGCACTGCCAAGTCAGCGTTGAACAATGGAAAACGCTTTTCAGTTTGAGGACGTTTTTTACGGCACTGCTGGCCAGATTGAATGGTACCGATTAATCCGATCGGTTACTCGCAAGACTCTTCAATTGGTGCGCCTCTAATTATTTGGTTTCAAGTGACCCGCGCGAGGGATGGGATAGCTAAGTAGTAGGTGGATTTTCGGAATCGATGTGACAGACGTGGTCTAACTAAGAGCATCCAAGATTGTGGAAATAAAGGTTCTTCAACTGCACTACACTGTTTCGACAGCTAATGTTTGTAACGCTGAGTTCAGGCAGCACGAGCTTCGGATATCCGTTGTCCATTGTGTTCCGAACCTGTATCAGCCATTTCTACCATCAAGTTTTCTCGTTCGACCATTTAAAGTTGCGGTTCGCTCATTATTCTGAACAATGAACGAGTGCATAAAAAATTGCCATCAGTAAAACCAAGCTACTGGGGCTCTGGAGCGGTGAGCCTTTCACGTTTCCTGCAGTATGATAAGTGTCCGGAGGTTCAAGTTGTAAAGGGTAGGATGGCCCATAAGTTGAGAACGAGGGGTGATCATATGATATGACTGATAACCAAACCATCTTCTCTAGCAAGAGCGCTCCATGGAACGCGACTTCACTTTTATATAGGCAGATTGACTTTCCTTTCTCCGTTATGCATAGTATAAACGGAAAACCGCATTCACATTACTCAATCGTCGCTACCAACCACAGCCTCACTGCAGTCGACCACAGCAAACAAAATCTATTTGACCTCGTGTTGTTTTATCACAAAATCGAGCTGACCACAGTTACTCATATCAACGCTCATGTGCCACGAACGAACATGTTTGCAACCGACCTCAGCTAATTTACAACCGAACAGTAAGCTCCAGCTCACTACATCATTCTTACTGACCCCATCAAATGACATTGCGATTTCGTGAATTTGGTGCACTCGACCACAGCCGATCGCTGTGCATTATGAGGAGAGTGCAAAGTTTCGACACAGGCTTAATTACGCAGGTGTCCCGAAGCTCGGGAAAAACGAACGCAAACTTGTTACGTACCATATGCTTCATCTCACGCAGCAAGTGTAACTAGCCGCTGGCCGCAACTATTTTTGCGTACGAATTTTCAGACAGTGTTGTGGTTGTAGTCGACTTCGTTTTACGACACATTTGAGCCAACCCATTTAGAAACATTGGTGAGGATGACAGATCCATTGCTCTTCGCGGCTGTTAGTTATTGAAGTTTACCAACGAGATGCTAGAGAGGACAGATTCAAATGGACAAGCGCCAATAGCTGTTATGGATCGCATGCATGAATGCTGATGCGTAAACACAGTGACCGAATGCCGGAGTTGATTGTTTTGATTTCTTGATCTGGATATGCATTAACGAACAAAAACGTTTCTAATCATGGAAGCTCAGGTATCATAAAAACAGAGGTAATAAGTAAGTATTCAATCACAGACCTGGAGAAAAATAGTGAAAACGGTCGCAGACAGTTGAACAGAACTAAGCCGACACGAATTCTGTTAATCCATCCTTGGTTAGGACTTGTATCAGACTTCCGGAAGCTGGGCGGTCCTTTCCTTCAATCCAATCCACAAATACTCTGGGGAAACGAAGAAGATTGACAATAAAAAGTCCCAACTCAGATATACGCAAGATAAACTCCAAGTGGAGTTACATACTCACTGAATCTCAGTCCAATCTCTTGTGAATGAGTCCATAACTCTGCTTACGTATAAAATGATGTTTATTTGGGAAGACTTATAGAAACTCGGGGACCCAAGAAAAGCGAAACTATCGGTGGGCCACCAAAGAGTGTAAATAGCTTTTACAAGTAGTGTTGTGTAAGGTACACTTCAACGTAATGAATACTTCAACCGAAACATAAGACGGCTTTCGTGCAGTTCATTCCGTTGAGGAATATAGTACACGAGAGACTCAGTTGAGCCTCCAGTAAATACCAAGTAGATTTGTAAATAAGTGTTCTAAAACATACGTGAACAGGTCAGATTTGGTACCAGACTACGTGGACCTATATGACAGCGCCTGACAAATGTACTGCATGCCCAGTATGTTTGGACCAGTTTCCCGAGCGTAATATGCGCGTCTCCACAAAACCCGAACAGTTAGCACTGTCTCTTGGTCATCCAATCCGCATACTGGATTCCCCCGCGGACATGCATATGTACGCACCTGTGTGCCGCTTCACGCACGATTGTATGATGAGAAATTTAGGTGTCAGATGGGTGTAAATCAAGAACTCGACCCTGCCATCGATCGGGTACAGGGTACCGGTGCAACACTCAGGCGATCCAAAGTGCACTGCGTATCGACTCATTCTGAGGATGTGACACGGACAGGCTACACGGACTAGAACAAGCGGCATATTGATTTAACTGCACGCGCGAACGGAAAGCGAAATTATCGAAACGGATCCGACCTCGCCAATCAAACAATCGGTGGCTTCCGGTAGGCTGCACGCGCATCCATGATGCGGCGATCGACAGTCAGCAGTGGCACCTGAAGACAGAAAACCTTCCGTTCAATATGCAGGCGCTCCTGACAACATGGGTCAGACGATTTCATCATACTTAGGCGACATCATCGGATATTACAGGGGAAGCAACAAAGAATGTGCATTTTCCCATGGAATTTTTCGCCTCTTTCAAAATACTCACGAGTGGTCTGCTTGCGTCGAAAAATAGTGAATGGCCATCATTGAAATTAGTCAAAAATCACATTTTTCGACCGAAACCCCACCAACTGTTGACCGCTTTCACTTGGTAATGAGAATATATATAATGCAATCTACAAGGTGACGAGGAATTTCAGGAACCTGCCGACAGTAAGGTTCCTACCACATGTATTCCGTCTGCAGCCTACGTCTAAGATTTTGTGGCACTATGAGGCTGAAACAATACTTACTTGGCCAGAGTCTCCAGCGGAGTCCACGTCGACCGATCTGCCTTTGGCATCCACTTGCGGTTCATCGGTGTATCCAGCATAATCCTGTGGATAAATGAACATATCTCCACAGTTATATCGAAAAGGTATGGAAAATTATTCAACGGAGTGTATGCTCCTCTCAATGGTTTCCAAACGGGAAAATTGGGTGCTATTCAGGGGGGGGGGCCTAAGGAAGCACTCTGCTGAGTGTGACGCGTAGCAAACGAAAGATGTACTGTGAAAATACTCTGCCTCGGTTGTATCAACTAGCTACTATAGTACCATATAGAACAGAGCGCACAGCCTAAGTACGAGGAAAATGATAGAAAAAACAAGACAATCCCAGGATAGGTTCAAACCGAGGCGGCAACCCCTAAACCAACACACGCAATCCTAGTCAACATGTCAGAAACTGGTCTTTCGGAGGATACGCAGTATGCAGGTTGTTTACCAGAGACTACTGAGAAATCTTCCGGCTGACCAATTGTGTTTGCTGCTCAGTTTCTACATCTTAGTAGCTGCGCAAGCAGCAACTGTATCGTGACAGGTGAAAGCATTGCGTGAATTGAGTAAAACAATAATGAAAAATAAACGTTCAGCCTTAGCACCCATTCGGTGTCTAGCTACCATGCCACACGAAGGAGGCACGAGGGCTGGGATACTGCCAGGTTGCCCAAGGCTAGACAGGGGAAGTCAAGAGGCAGAGGTGGAGTTCGAGCCACGGATCTTCGGGTCAGTAGATTCGCGCTCTAACCACTTGGTCCATCTCGCCCCGCATGAATTGTGTATTGAGTCGAAAACACATTTCGAAGTCGAACGAACCTGTTCACAAAAAGGGAGCAACCCAGCCTAATGGTTTTGAAAAACCTTAACATGCCAAGAAACCTCCACCCGACGCCGTATTCGTCCAAGCTGAAACGGCGTGCAACTAGACTCAGAAGATCAGCAATAAAACATACCAAATTACTCCGTCCGTTTGATGTCACCTTCGTTCAGCACTAAGATTTTGTGGCACTATGAGGCTGAAACAATACTTACTTGGCCAGAGTCTCCAGCGGAGTCCACGTCGACCGATCTGCCTTTGGCATCCACTTGCGGTTCATCGGTGTATCCAGCATAATCCTATGGATAAATGAACATATCTCCACAGTTATATCGAAAAGGTATGGAAAATTATTCAACGGAGTGTATGCTCCTCTCAATGGTTTCCAAACGGGAAAATTGGGTGCTATTCAGGGGGGGGGCCTAAGGAAGCACTCTGCTGAGTGTGACGCGTAGCAAACGAAAGATGTACTGTGAAAATACTCTGCCTCGGTTGTATCAACTAGCTACTATAGTACCATATAGAACAGAGCGCACAGCCTAAGTACGAGGAAAATGATAGAAAAAACAAGACAATCCCAGGATAGGTTCAAACCGAGGCGGCAACCCCTAAACCAACACACGCAATCCTAGTCAACATGTCAGAAACTGGTCTTTCGGAGGATACGCAGTATGCAGGTTGTTTACCAGAGACTACTGAGAAATCTTCCGGCTGACCAATTGTGTTTGCTGCTCAGTTTCTACATCTTAGTAGCTGCGCAAGCAGCAACTGTATCGTGACAGGTGAAAGCATTGCGTGAATTGAGTAAAACAATAATGAAAAATAAACGTTCAGCCTTAGCACCCATTCGGTGTCTAGCTACCATGCCACACGAAGGAGGCACGAGGGCTGGGATACTGCCAGGTTGCCCAAGCCTAGACAGGGGAAGTCAAGAGGCAGAGGTGGAGTTCGAGCCACGGATCTTCGGGTCAGTAGATTCGCGCTCTAACCACTTGGTCCATCTCGCCCCGCATGAATTGTGTATCGAGTCGAAAACACATTTCGAAGTCGAACGAACCTGTTCACAAAAAGGGAGCAACCCAGCCTAATGGTTTTGAAAAACCTTAACATGCCAAGAAACCTCCACCCGACGCCGTATTCGTCCAAGCTGAAACGGCGTGCAACTAGACTCAGAAGATCAGCAATAAAACTTACCAGATTACTCCGTCCGTTTGATGTCACCTTCGTTCAGCAAAGCTCTGAGCTATGTGCTGATATTTTTTGCAGTTCGACTGCTTCCCCTAAAAGGCTACTTTGTCACAATAATAATAACAATAACCGTTCAGTTGTAACGCGCTTCAAGTGTCCAGCTGCCATGTCAGCCGAAGGAAGCACGAGGGCTGAGATACTGTCACCTTACCTAGGCAGGAGCAATTGAGATGCAGAGGTTGGGATCGGACCACGGATCTTTCGGTCAATTAACACTGAGAGCCGTTATTCTGCGCTTTACTTTCCGTGTTTAGCCTAGAATAGGAAGCTTCCTTACTCGGTGCTGCCCGAAGCGTATTAATGACGTATATATTATTATATAATATACACTATATATAAGACATTCGATTGAGTAAAACTCCTAGAACAAACATGGTGAGTGGGGAATCATCAGCAGCTGTAAAGACCGCGTACTAGCGGTGCAGTGGTTACAGCTGCGATGAATTGGGAAAGCGAGGTAGATAGCTACGTATAGGAAGTGGTAGCTGACATAAAGATGCGCAAATACAAGGATATCAGTAGACTTACAATACGAGAGGTTTGGAAGGAAGCTACGGATTGAAGGTAACAGATTGGATGCACAAGCGCTATGGAGAGTGCGACCGGGCCATGTCTGACAATGTCTCTATTTATGCGTCCCGTTTCGAGGTCCCCATCCAGGGAGACGGAAATGATCAGTGGGGGTGGGTTCGCTGGTAATGACTAACATAAATCGCTACCAAGTCACCTTTTGACCTCCCCTACCTCTTTAACAACTTTCGCGTGGTTGTGTACGAGAAAATCGGTCAACCTAGATACGCAACATGTGATCAAGTCAGTGCAACCTATGAAGTGCGAGCGGTTCATCTAACGTGGGCCAGTTTGCTCAAATAAGTCATGGTTGCACGGCAGTGAATCATCGGTGTTGAACACTGATGTTATGCTGTCGATGATGATGATGAGTTATATGATACTATTAAACACCGTTTACCGCATCGACCTGCGTTAATCTCAATTGAACCAGACAACTGCACAGCGTAAAGACGACTGTTTACTGGGATCCAGTCGAGTAAGGTTCTTTCAGCCTTGGAGTTGAGTGCAACTCCCGCGCCGTAGATACCACGAACCATTGCATCAGGAGCACCAGATGCCTGGAAAGTAAAATGTGGAACAACTGGACTCATCCTAAACGGCTGGAGGTGCACGAAAGAAGTGGGGTCTTATCTGCGCGTTTCGGAGACATAATATACATCGAGAGAGAGAGAGAGGAAGCAAGGTTCCAGCAGGAGATGCCTGTTGCCAAATTCGACACAGTACGGATAGTAAAGGATGAAACGTGGATCCGATTTTTCCTGGTTAGTAACAGGTTATCTTGGTTTATTTTTCTGGGGGACGGTTTAGACACAGAACGTTGACTAGGGGACTGGCAAATGGGTTGATCGCACTGCATCCTTCGATGAGCGGAGGGGGTGCAGCGGAAGGCCAGTGAGCTAAGAGCTGCAAGGGCGAATTGTGTTTCCCGTTTTCCCAAACCGAAGAACGGGGTTTGGTTGAGGTAACCCATTTTGAAACTTTAACTTAAACGTCTGACCCACAAGGCAGTGTGAGAAGGTAGGACTGTGTTCCAGGAGCCCGGCCCTAGTCTCTTACACCAAAGTCTAGCCAGCGAGACAGCGGGCATTAGGATGCACTTTGAAGAACCTACTCGGAGCCGATAACTCGATACTTTGACCTCATCTGCATGGGGCTGGCCAGAGGGCGTATAGAGTAAGGCATTAGTGCCAGTGTGGCTGCGCATAGCAGGTGCCTTTTGAGCAGCATTAGACTCTTTGGTTTTAAAAGTATTTCGACCGTGGCTACGGTCAACCGTTGGGCAATCGGAGTGTGTGAACTTTAGGGCCAGCTTTCTCTAACCTGTCATTCCTCGGAGAAAGGCTTCATCCATGAATATGGGCGTACTGGTCGCCCGGCAGAAACAACTTACTGTCTTCACACTTCTATCGGAGAGGTTTTCACCCGGAGATCGTCCCATATTACGATTTATCGCGATACGGGGACTCGCTGTGTTCATCGGGATGCTCCGCGTGAGGAAAGGTCGGTTATTACTAAGTTCGATATGAGGTAGGCAGCAGGATAAAAAGCGCTAAACTTCAAACCACTGTGAAAAAGCAACAATAAAACTCAAGGTAGGGTAGCGGAAACCAATGGAAAAAGCAACAATAATACTCACGGTAGGATAGCGGTCACATGTACACCGGCGGGGAGCCCACTACCTTCAGCGGCCAGGCTTTTGGTTAGTTGATGAACTGCTGCCTTCGCTATACCGTACCCAAGCATACCTGTGAGGAAACAGGAACAATGAGTAGCCACGAGCTGCAATTACTCACCTAAGATCAAGGAGAGAGCAATCAAACTGAAGGCATACAGCGAACAGAAACTGGACAACAAAGGCGATATGCAATAGTGATCAGCAACAACCCAAGTTTGGCAGTGATCTGTGTCCAAGAGCAATTACTACTAAGTGAATCGAGCAGCAGTATATTATTCAGATTTATTGTTTTAAATGTATTCCATGCCTTCAGGGGCATCAGTGAAACGGGCGTTACTCAGATTCCAAAGGGCACTATTGGGCTACTACCTACTGATAGTCTAACCTAACACGAACAAGCCGCTTTGGAGATGTGCTACATGTCACGTTGTTGAGCAACGGACCGGTTCTCGATGGAGTGCACCTATGCCCCGAATTGACACAAGAACTTGACATAGAAGACATTTCTGATTGATAATCGGTCCTTGTATGAAGTACTTGACCGAGCTATCCTCGTGTAACGTAACCGTCCTCACTTCCCGACAACTGCCTTCAATCTGGTCTGCATCGGTCACCATGGCCCCGGTTGTGCCTTCCTCTCGTTTAAAGACCTCTGTCTCTTGACTTCCCTGTCTAGGCTTCGCGATACGGGGACTCGCTGTGTTCATCGGGATGCTCCGCGTGAGGAAAGGTCGGTTATTACTAAGTTCGATATGAGGTAGGCAGCAGGATAAAAAGCGCTAAACTTCAAACCACTGTGAAAAAGCAACAATAAAACTCAAGGTAGGGTAGCGGAAACCAATGGAAAAAGCAACAATAATACTCACGGTAGGATAGCGGTCACATGTACACCGGCGGGGAGCCCACTACCTTCAGCGGCCAGGCTTTTGGTTAGTTGATGAACTGCTGCCTTCGCTATACCGTACCCAAGCATACCTGTGAGGAAACAGGAACAATGAGTAGCCACGAGCTGCAATTACTCACCTAAGATCAAGGAGAGAGCAATCAAACTGAAGGCATACAGCGAACAGAAACTGGACAACAAAGGCGATATGCAATAGTGATCAGCAACAACCCAAGTTTGGCAGTGATCTGTGTCCAAGAGCAATTACTACTAAGTGAATCGAGCAGCAGTATATTATTCAGATTTATTGTTTTAAATGTATTCCATGCCTTCAGGGGCATCAGTGAAACGGGCGTTACTCAGATTCCAAAGGGCACTACTGGGCTACTACCTACTGATAGTCTAACCTAACACGAACAAGCCGCTTTGGAGATGTGCTACATGTCACGTTGTTGAGCAACGGACCGGTTCTCGATGGAGTGCACCTATGCCCCGAATTGACACAAGAACTTGACATAGAAGACATTTCTGATTGATAATCGGTCCTTGTATGAAGTACTTGACCGAGCTATCCTCGTGTAACGTAACCGTCCTCACTTCCCGACAACTGCCTTCAATCTGGTCTGCATCGGTCACCATGGCCCCGGTTGTGCCTTCCTCTCGTTTAAAGACCTCTGTCTCTTGACTTCCCCTGTCTAGGCTTGGGCAGTATCTCAGACCTCGTGTTTCCTTTGAGTGACATGGTAGCTAGGCACCGAAAGGGTGTTACAGCTGAAAGACTTTTAAGGGACGATTGATTTGAGGAAAGTCAGCGAAAACGGCAACCAGTGTAGATAAAGTGACCGTACCGTTAACCAGTCTGTAACCGAAAGCAGCGAAAGAAGCACGATTTTATCCGAGCCTAACAGTCAGGAATAATACCTTGAAAATAACGTGCGTATTTCGAATGTCTGCGTAGGCACCACGAATACATTCCAGCATACCCCTTGCCATGGTCAATAGTTCGCATGCGACACGCACGAATAATGGAACGTATTAGAGAAACACTGCATTTAGGTTTGGGTGACTGAAACAATCAGTGATGGCCAAATGACTCCGAGCTCCTTGTGTGTCATGTTCGGTTAATATAAAAAGGTCCTAAAATTTTTTGACGGAACACTACCTGGGCCTTCAAAAAGGATAGATCTAAGTGTAACGGATATGGCGACCACAGTAGTCGGTGGCACGTTGTTTTTCGTTGTCTGTGAAACTGCGGACAAAGACGGGGCAGTGATTTCAGTACTGCCAAGTTTGATTCGGTGCCTGAGGACATGAAGCGACAGCTAGTCCTAGTTCAGAACAAGAAACTTTCACCAACTTCACAATAAAAAAATAATAGTTCACCCGTAGTGCATAGCTGCCGCGCAACTAGGAGGGCTGAGATGCTGTTGCTGCTCAAGCCTACACAACAGCAATCAAAAGGTCACATCTGTGTTAAAACCACAGATCTCCAGATTGGTAGTTTCGTGCCTTCCAGCATGTTACTTTCATACTTCCAAGAACGTTTGCACCCGATCTATTTCAAATGGGCAAAGTGAGCTTAGCAACGAAGGAAATGGTGTCTCAGAGTCATCATGTTAAGCCTATCGTGATTGATTTATGAGAACATTACCCGAGAGTTACCACATGACTATTCCGAATTTACCCTGGAGGTAAGTAATAGCAAAAGGCATTGGAATTAAGCATTCGCTATCAGAAAAGCGGTCAGTTTTACAATAATCTGAAATTTCAGGAACTCTTCAGAGGTTTAGATGGGGTGGGTGAGAACTGAGACTGCGTAAAAGGGATCCCAGTGAAGAAAAAATGAGGTTTTCAGTTAGTTCCGAGAACAAGCACTAGCAGAACAGACGCAGGTCTAGATCTGAAATCAAGATGTCCTGTACGCAATATCCACTTTGGTAAGTTCATCCGACATTTAGCAGTTCATGCAACCAGGACGACGGAAGGTGCTGACCTTCCGAGGCCGAAATCATCTTTAGTTGCGTGAAATTATTTCTTACCACCCGGGAGTCCTCCCCTTTTGTACACAGTTTGGAGACAACGATGAAACAACCGTCTACATCTTACTCTCTCTTGCTGAACCGAAGTATTATTGATTCATGGAATTGAGCGTCTCAGACCCCACGATGCTTCACTCTGTTTCCAAAATATAGACACGTTAAAAACTATCGGGTTCCAACAATGCAAGCATAGCCGCCCAGAAGAGCCTCACTACTAACTGGCTGTTCCATATCTTTGGTCGACGTACTAATAATAAACTTATTCCTTCAAAGCCCGTTACTATGGCAGCAGCAGTTATTTTTTTCCTTTTTTTACTACAACAAGCCGAGAGGCGTGAAAGGCAGTACCTAGAGGCCCCTATATAGATCACATTACAAAGTCGCTGTGGTCCTCCCATGATACGTTAAAAACACGGAGTACCTATAGTACTGACATACCAAGTCAATCCAACCACGACTGTGAACAACAAACTAAACGGAACAGAGAAAAACTCAGTGCCCAAGCCGTAGATATTTTACTCAGTCCCAAGTTGGGAACCCGGGTGACCTACCCGAACCAAGCATAAACGACGGCAGTACGACCGTAATTTTTACCCGCTCAATTTCGCAGAAGACGGTTGGCTTTATGTTGCACTGCAATTGTCTTGAAGGCAATTTATATCAAAACGGACAGCTAATAGGTAACCAAAAAACCCATACACTACATGTGACTCAGTTAGATGGAAAAAATCATTTCCTGGTGATGGTGAAACCCTACTGAAATACCTGGTAAAAAGAAAAATAAATGGAAGACGGTCGCTCGTTCAAGTCATACAAGAAAGCGACGGACGCATTTTTTTGCTTTCTTCATTTAAAGCAAGATTCAACTCAAACTACCGTCAGAATAAAGTGTAAACAAACAAAAAGGAAACGGTGGACAACCACAAAACAACCACAGCAATAACTTACTTAAAATAATACCATAAGTGAAAAATCCAACTGGGATTCACCACCCATTAACATCAACTTGAACTGCGAGTGTACTTCGCTAAAAGATTTCCAATAGTGTTTTTGAGAATCCAAAACTCAGAATAGTGCGTATAGTACACTGCGCGACAAGACGATATGGCCTTCAATCATAATTACAATAGTGAGTGTGATAAGACAGAAAGTGCCACTTTTAATGAGAAAATATCAGGGGATAAGATCTTTACCGGTTTTTGTTTCCAACCCAAACATCAGTTATTGTGAATTAACTGTGCCTAAATTACTTGAGAGCCCACACCATCACACCAATGTGACCCAGTGCGAATTTGCTCCACTTACGTTCAGAAGTGCACGTCTGAATGGTTTCAAAATCGAAAAACCACAGTTATTTCTACGACTTTTAATATAGCAGACAGTCATTATTTGTTCAATGGTGTGTGCAAGACTAACCAAGTTCAAAAAGGGTCACGTGGCTATGGACAGATCTCAAGATGTAGCGAAAGGCACTGGGAGAAGACACCTGAATCCATAAGAAGGATTAGCAATTAGTAAGCTTCCGAGCGTAACGAAATAATAGCAGATGATTTTAACAGTTTCGTGTTTGCATTGCAAACCAATATATCATTATCATTTTCTGTCTCGGAACGACTATCGTGTCACACTGGTTCACAGCATTCACTATATACAAGTGTTGATACTATCGAGTTCACGCACTCAAACACACTACTGCCTGCTAATGTGACCTCTGAGCTTTCAAAGTTACCTCGGCTGTCTGACGTTTCTAGGCGGTCTCTTTCAGATTGTGTATTCCCTTGCAATCATTGCATTTGTATTAACAGAGGACCGTTGACTTCCCGTTCCGCTCTCTCAGCGTCCTTTCCCCTGTGATTCGTGTGCATAGATTAACCCGATTCCAGTGCTAAATCAGAACAGTCTAGCATTACTATCACATTCGGATTATTGTAGTGTCTGACTCGTTGCGCAACGGTCCGAAACGCATCGCATGCAATGGCGAGTCTCAGTAGGCGAAAAACAAGTGTTGATCACTGATTGTGGATGCGAAATACTTCAATAAAAGCTGTCCAGAACCCCTTATGAGATATATTAAATGACTACTCACGTGCAAGTCAATCATAACGAGGCTGATCGTCATCAACAAAAAAACGTTCTACACGGAAGTAACGAGTCAATAAGTGGAATACACTAGTGCAAAGATCGACCATGTGCTCACGATGGTTGTTCTGCCGATTTGATGTACCGGCAGCTCAGAACCATTGATTGATTGTTCAACCGGAATTAAATGCAGCATCGGTTTCATCATTCAATGGAATGACCAGCTGAATTATAGAATGTTAGACTGACAACCGGGAAAACATCACTGAATGTCATTATTATTGAAGTGTATGAAAGCTGTCCATATGGCAATGTGAAAATTACTTTGGCGTTAGTGGGGGGCTAACTGAAACTCAACTGAAATTCCCGCTTATGGTGTTCTTCGACCGAATTTGATTCCATTAAGAAATGATTGATGGAAAACCAGGGAATTCGTCTAGACGATGAGTTCCACGAAGGGTGAAACCGAGATCAAGGTGTCGATGAGTTATCACCAACCTTATACGTAGTGTTACTTAAAGAAAAATGCTTGGAAAACTTGAAACATGAAGTGCACAGCACAGAATACCGAGCACTTGGTAATGAAGAATCACTGGGGCAGTAAACAAAACTTATTGGGCTGTGTTTGAAACACATATTTCGCATGCTCAATCGCCGTCCATTAAAGAGGACCTATTTTATTACTTCAAATTCATGCTGGCGGGAGATTTCAGGATACGGTTGAGCGAAATGAAAGCCACTACAGACCTACTGGGTGCTGGTGAGTCTTCGTGCCTTCTTGGTTGGGGCCTTCGTAATTATTCTTGAAACCTGGCGCTTGACTGATGGCGCTCGGGCTATCACTTCCCCGCCGGACTATCCACCTGACGTTTGTCTGTCAGTGTTTGGTTGGGTCTTGTTGGGTGCGGTCCATTAAGATTATTAGGTCAGTCCAATCATGATATCCAAATACAATTTGTACTTAGATATGCT